TGCAGAGTAAGGAACACACATCACTCATTCTACTACCCTACTTTTCCTTAAAAATGTCTATTGTAAAATCTTCTAAAGATAAAGATCAACTTCTTCTGGATGGTTTTCGTTATCGTCGTGCAAATAAAAGTCAAGTTACCTGGCGTTGTGTTAAAAATAATTGTTCTGGTCGTGTGACTTCTGATGGTACACAATATATTAAATTAAGTGACCCACTTTTATTTAGAATTCTGTTCGTATAAATCCATCTATTTAGGAATCTATTAAAGATCTTCAATTGGAACAACATGCCAATTTAATTATGGCTGATAAGTTACAAGCTGGGCTTGTAAAATTGACAACGTGCGGCATATGAATAAATGGACGAACAACTACAACAGTTAATTACCGCTTTTAATGTAAACACAAGAAAGGAGTATTTTAAAAGAGCAAGAGCTTTGTTTAATTTTTGAAATTAAAAAAATAAAAGTCATATAATGCCTATCTGCGACAGGCTCAAATGTCGAAGGCTCACGTATCGGGAGGCTTAAATATCGGGGGCTGAAGCGTCAAGAGCTCAAGTGTCGGTAGGCTCATCTGTCGAGGCTCGAATGTCATAGGCTCAACTGTCGTGTCACGAGAAATAGACGAAAATAGATCATAAAGGAAAAGAATGGAAACGAAATAGCTAAACGTGATAAACAACTGATATAGTGGAAAGATAAAGGATAGAAGAATGCCCTGCACATGGAGAACATGTGAAAGTTACGAGGCCTGTAACACTAGGTGATATTGTCAGTATCTAATTGATATCAGAGTCTTTGGTTGTTATTCGCATATGACATCTGCTCTGTAGTTTCTTGTATTCTCAGATAAAACGTGTCGGCATATTTGCAACAAATTTGTACAGATTTTGTAAATTATGAGTTTTTTGTGCAGAATGCAGACAAGATTTGAACTCGAATTCTAGCACATTTTGTTCAAAATCTGTACAGATCTGTCACAAACTATCATAGGATATCGATAGTTTCGTCGGGGGTAACTGTCGAAGATCTGATTCAAATTTTATATAAAATTTCCTTGAAGAAAGTTCCCCTAGATGGAGCCGATGACACTCGCGACCATAAATTACGCTTTCTGCAGCACGTTAATTGCAAGGATGTGTCAGCTAGCATATAAATAAAAGACTTTAAAGTGGCGACGACAGCAATTGTCGAACTAAAAATTCATTGAGCCCGCGAATGCTCTATTGAATGATATATTTGTGGCTTAGAAAAAGGTTGATAATAAGATATCACAAACTGAGACAAAGTCGCCCTATTATATATACTGGTCGATAGCATTTTGATTTTTTAAGAAACGTTCAAAAATGCAAATTAATAATGAATATGACGAGTGGTAGAGATGCTCTGATGTAGTCAATTTCAAGAGCGTGGTATCTTCCTGCAACTGACAAACTTCTGTTAGAGTCACTCATGCCGTTATCAACAACCAAAGCTAGAATGTTAACCTAATGCAGCGTTCTTTCGCTGATTCATACTTACTATCCACAACTGGAGAAACACTAAACGAGTTATGAGTTCAAAATGAGTTGTGTGTCTTGGTCGCACCGAGATCTGAACGCACCATCTTTGAAGCGCGAGTCGACAGAAGTTAGGCAGGTGATATAGATTGATTTAATCAATTATTGTTTTGTAGCATCTAACTTTAGACAAAGTCCTACACACTTCCTTTCCTATTTCTTACAGGATCCTAGCATTTAGGACCCGCATAATAACTTCCTAGCAGGATCCTAAAATGCTAGAATCCTACTATTTCGCTTAAGTTTATTTAGGATTCTAACAGAATGTTAGAAAGCCCTCTGACTTTCGGGTATACCTGATTTCATTAGGGTTTTGTTAGGATCCTAAGAAATTAGAGCGAAATTCTAGTAGGATACTGGTAGGATATGTCTCGGATCCTTTCAGGAAACTCATAGGAATTTTACTAGGGAATAAGTTCTTAAAAATGTTTCCCTGTTCACTCTACGTCTACATGAGTATTGATATGACGATGATATTCAAGCATGGTTAGATTTCACTAAATAATTGCTTCAGTCTTGTGTACGGGATACTGCCGCCAAATGTAAAATAGACCACAACGCATTGAACTTCGATAACGTTCCTGCCAGTTGAATATGAGCGGGATAAAAAAGTGCAAAGGATGAATTTGTTTGGTATTCTTGGTTTCTTTTTTAACTCTTAATTCGTATGAAATATCTCCCACCCTTTTGTAACACCCGCACAGATGCTGCGTTGGCACATTTTGCGCTCAAAAAGAAAGAATTTTAAACCGAGTTTTAGGCGTAAGACATCTTTTCAAGTTTGAGTTTAAAATATTTCGTCCTTTCCAATTACTTTTATTATTACAACACTACACAATGGGCAATCACATGAACATTAGGTGATTAAATGGAAGTGCACTTGGTTAATATTCATATAGTGTTAAATATACTTTGAAATACGCTCTATTTAAGGACTTTTGTTCCAACTGCCATAATTTTTCAAAAAATATTTATGGAAAATTTTGTTTAAAAATTGAGCTTCTCTGAAAAACAAGCAGGTGCTGTTCAAAGTGAAAGATATTAGTACGAAACTTTTACGTAATCTGAAACTACACATTTCACTCTAACTATTTATAAAATAAAATTTTGTTGTAGCTCTTTGCTGTTCGGAAAAATAATTTTTCTCTCTACGCTAAGTGTTTTCCGAACGGCTAGTTCAGTAAAATGAGGGCCATCGAATGACTTATAATGCGAAACCTTTTTCTACAGAAAATTTTTCGATCAAACTGGATCGTACCGTAGTGGCATTGTCGCAGCAAGTTTTGCGTTGGTATTTGGATATTCGTTTTAGTAGCGAGACGAAAGTCTATGAATACATTTTTTAAAAGTTTTTTTTAAGTTAATTTTTTCTGTACCATTATGCGTCAGTGACGCAGCGTCACGAGACAGACATTATGTCTGTCTCGTGATATTATCAGTTCTTCTGCGTTGTACTCTACTCTGTAGGGCGACATCTCTTGACATTGTCTGGTTTGGTACTGTAACATATCAATATTTTTAATTTTAATATGTCACTTAGAAAGTCTAATTTGAACTGATTTTATGCCTAACAATATACAGATTTTACTGAAGCGGTCTTTTAGACATTAAAGAGTTTCACATTTTAGCCACGATGGGATTTTTCTGACCAGACTTTCATGATACTGTCGTTCTCTGTATATCCATAAAAATTCATTCTCAGGTACGTCTTTATCAGTTTTAATACAGAAGCTTGCTCGTGTTCTCGATTATATGTTTTACAGTCACCATACCAAGGAGGGAAAATCGGATTTTCGTATTAGCTTAATTTGAGCTCAATACATATGATCCCCACAATTTCCAAGTTTTGATGGATTTTCGTGGACTTCATGGTGTTCCACGCAACTTCACGAAACGTTTGACATTTTTCTGAGTCTTTCTGAATTTTTTCCAATAAGCTCCGACTTCAAGGGTTTTTACAGATGTTTCTTTTATTCTATCGAGCTTTCTTGGACTTTTTCCGGATTGTGTTGTACTCCCGTGGACTTCACTAGTTTCTCAGAGGGTCTCAAAGTTTTTCTACATTTGTATATGTCTGAAAGTCCCAAAAATCCGCTTTTTCCCCTTTACACCATACTCTAGACAAAATCCTACGCACTTTCTATGTATTTTCTGCTAGGATTTTAAAGTTAGGACTATAGCAGAAAATAGATAGGAAGTGTGGAGGATTTTGTCCAGAGGTGAATCATTGCATTTTCTTGTTAGCGTCCTATTCGGAGCCTATCAAATCTTGCGACTTCCAGGTATCTCGGGTTTCATAAGGATTTTGTTCGAATCCTACTTGAAAGTAAACGAAATTCTGTTAATTTCGTGGTATAGATTTCTTGAAGGGTCTTGGAGAAATCCTATCAAGAAAAATATGTTTCTTACAAGGGTAGCTTATTTTTTTATACAAATCATTTAGCTAAACTGAGGGTAAATATCAAAATATTTTTTCAATATTTACGGATATAATTTTCTACTTTTAAAAACTTTGACACATCGGCATCAAAAGCAAATGTTAGTAATTAGGTACAAATCGACGTTAAATTTTCGTTTCTCTGTTGTTCGCCAAATATACGTCTGTGATAAACAGAAAAAAATGAGTCAGAAATACGAAAGATAAAGCGATTATAAATCCTTAAATTCATGGGGACCAGTCAGTATCCTGTCCATACACTGTTTTACGCTTGAAAATCTGTGAGGACGCTGTCCTCACTGGTCCTACAGTTCCACGGTCTCTTGTAGACCTGAAAACTATCCTGAAATATCTATTTGTAAACTAAAATAAACCGTTCTACGTAAACGTAAGCTCTTACTTGTTTCAGATGTTTAACTAAAAAACACTGTTTGAAATATGTAGCGTTAATGTTTTACGTGTGAAATCATAGTCGATGATCAAATGAACTATAAACTTTACAATGCTTGAGATATTTTATCTTTTTTCTCATGCTTGCCGTCAGTATCATCATCTCATTATTTATAAACAAAAACAGAATAAGAGAAACATCAGCAGGATAGAGGAAAAAAAACAAATCAAAAACAAAACACTTGAGACAGAAAAAAACCAACAAACAAAACACACGCATATTTCTAACATCAGAAAACTCACACACAGGATAGGAAAGAGAGGGTACTGGTTCATTTATGCGCTGCTGCTTTCTTCTGATTAACTTATTTTTATATAAAAAAACAAAACAAACAGAAAACAAAACTTAAAAATATATGTGAGAGAGAAGAAATATTAGATCCAAAAATAGAGAGAGACAGACAACATTAACAACAACAAATAAACTTTTTAGGGTATATAACGCTCTTTTTTTCCTTTTTTTTTCTACTGGAATAACAGACATCGTAGCACGTGATTTTTGATTTTAACAAACAAACAAACGAAAACGATACATCGATATATACTAATATATCACCGCAAACTAGCTTCATTTGTCGAATGTAAAACTGCTGTTCTAGGAGGTGGCGGAGTGACAGTCATTTGAAATCCTTGTTGATCATTCGTAGATATAGAAGATTTCGATAGTGAACGATGTTGACTTGTCGGAGTTAATTTATTAGACGATGGATAAGACGTAGAATTATCGCCGATCGATGGTGACTCTAGAATTGTATCTGTTAGTGTAAGATCGGTAGGTGCCGTCGATGTGTATGTATTTGTCGCTTGAATCGAATCTGTATTCAACAGTGGATCATGCGTGGTCGACGTAGAAGATAATGCTCCATTTTCTTGTCCAATATGTGACTGATACCAGTCTCGATTTTGTTCTAATGTTTCTAAAATATTATTTGCATCAGGATAAACAAGATCAGCCCATGTTTCCCATAACGGATGAACAATAAATTCAATAAAACCAATCTGTATCAAAAAAACAAAGAAAAAATACATCATGAGAAAATGATAAATATTAAATATTCTACAAATTTTCTATAACTTAGTAGAATATGAGTTATATAAAAATTACTTTCGAGACTGATAAAATAAATACATACTTGTGATTTTTCTACACTAGCCACTCGTCTATCACACATTGGACTAATTTCTAATCTTAAATCTCTTTCTTTATCTCCTTGCCTCCAAAATTCTTCCATAATACGATCTGTCCATCTCGTATAGATATCTAATGGTTTCGTGGGATTTGATAAATCGGCACAATGAATCATATTTTGTAAAACCTAGAACAAAAAACCAATGTATTCTCAAACAATAAATGTGTAGAGAGTTTCAAATGTATTATTACTTGTATTCTATCATCGTATGTTTCCAACATAATAATATTATTTCCAGTGACTTTTTTTGATTCTACCATTGTCTTTAAATCGGCTAATAATTGCATATGTTTGGACATGTCCGTAGCAAGCACCATATCAATTACCATTTTTCTAAGGGTTTTCATTTGTTTTGTGGTCAAATTCGAAAATATATTCCGTTCTTGACTTTGTAGCAGTTTAAATGCTACGGCTAAATGATGATTCTCTAATACTGATTCATCGTTGTACATAATGGCTAAATCTGAATTCGTATTGATTAGAAACTGATTTGTAACACCAGGATGATCGACATCATGCACAGCCGAAGCGAATATAGCAGACATTATTTCTAATTCAGTAAACACACCCTATAACATAAATAGTAAATGCTTGAATAACTTATAAGTATTTAAAAATATTTTGAGAGTTATACTGTCATAAGAGTAGATTACATACGTCTAGTGCACTGGCATTCAATAGTACATGCATTGATTGACAAACATCTGCTCCATGTGCTTTATTATGATATGGTACTTGTTGATAGTGATCCTCAAGTGTTAATAAATATTTAAGTAACGTCGATTGTTCAATCGAATAAATTCGACATAATTCTCGTTCTTGAAATATTCGATATGTAATAGCTGTTAGCGGACGTTGATCACTTAATTCTTCGACTTTAAATGTATCTAAACCCCAATCATTAATACGTGATAGAACATCGGCTAATTCTTGAGGATATTGAGTTTCAACTCCTAATTCTGGTACATTGACAGGAACAATGGTTTGTTTGACAACTTGAATACCTTGAATTTGTCTCATTATATTATGGGATGAATCATTATCTTGATATGATGATGAACAAACGGTTGTGGTTGTAGTAGTGGTTTGAGCTTGTTGTGGAGAAGAGGCAACAGCTTGAGTAGTTAATGAGTCATGTTGACCAGATGACGGAGGTCCAGTTGGTAATTCAACATCAGGCTCTTTCTTATCTGAAACAAAAATGTAATTAATAAATAAATATACACTAAAATGACCATCACTTTGATCCATTAGTTTTTAGTGTAAAACAATGAAAGTGCCATCTGTAGAGGTCTTACACAATGCATTGTTCAAAACTGAAAGACATGTGGCCGAAACACTTTAAAATTCTTGCTCATCAACACTAATACACATCCGATTGCTTTTTTTTATACTCTTTCGAATGACATATCTAGATGTATGCTCTCTATTTGAACAGATATTTTAGAATTTAAATAGTTGTACATCGTTCAATTTCAATTGATAGTATAAAAAGTGATTAACTAAGTCTAATTTTAAAAATATTTTTCTTTAAAATGTACCGGATAGTGTTATTTTTCTGACAAAAATGATCTTGAATTGAAAAGAAACTATTGAGTAAAAGTGTATCTAATTGAAATTTTTTTCATACCTTGTTCATCCAGTGAAAAGTATTTCAAATTTTTTTTTTTTTGATAATTTATTGCTCGACAAATTCGTGAACGCTTTAGTTAGTATGTGATTTTAAGCGAAAAAAACAACAACATTAGATGAAATAATAGATTAGTGTGTTTCGATACTTTTAGTCTACTAAAAGTTCATTTTATTTTACATCTAATATTAACTAAAATTTAGCAATTCTAAATGTTTATAATACCTGTATATGTTGTGTATAAATATTCTGATATTTGTGGTCCAGATTTATTATTTTCAGCAAAATGCGATAATTCTTTATTTAACATCCGTTTGAACTAAAGATAGAAGGAGAGAGAAAAAAAGAGTAAATATTGGTCTATTTTACTTTTAATCTCATTTAATTTACTTTTAGAGATGCTAAATCTGAAACAGATTTATGTGTTTGCATTGTTTCCAATTGATCTAAACACCAATCTAATTCTTCTAGGGTCGATATGGCAGATATCATTGTTTGATCATCTGAAAACAACAAAAAATTTAATATAAAATTAGACTCTCAAGAAGATTGAATGAAGATGTATGAATTTAACAAAAAAAAACAAAAAATACATTTCTACTATCTCACTCACTTTTTTTATATTTTCGTTACTCGATATCAAAAGAGAAAAATGAACAGTTTGATCATTTGATAGATATTTTTATTTCGATCGCAAACCGTTTTTCAGACTAATTAAAATTTATATTCTCACATATAATGGAAATTATAATATTTAATCAATGACTATTTTATTTTCTACCTACCTCCTTGTATTATTGTTGAAGAATTATTTTGTTGAGCCGTTGTTATTGGTGCGGTAGTCGTTTTTGTCAAAGAATTATTTGAATTTACATTTATATTTGATGCTAATTGTATGGAAGATTGAGTTGCACGTTTAGATCTAGAAAATAAAAATAAAAAAAAAAAGTTAAAAAATGATGACTATTCTTCAATAGTAATCAAATTATAATAGAACTGTCAATTTGAAGACAAAGAAACAATCCTAATTTAATTATTTATTCACTTTTTTTTGTTTGTTTTTTTTGCTATTCACTTAAACAAAATACAGTGAATAAGTGCAGATCGTTTATTTAACAAGCAGAAATGGAGCACGAATAGATAAAATGTCCTATTAAAGACATTTTCAAAAAACACATTTTTTACTTTTTTTTTATATCTTGCTTACTCAATAATTTAAATGCCTACCTCTTAATTGACATCAATATTTTTTGTTCTCATTCTTACTTGGTTTATCGTTTTCCGATGTTAATTAAGATTTTCTAATTGAGACTACTTTTTTAATTAAAAGTGAAATACTCAATTTGGAAGACTCGATTTAAATAAATATATGTGTACATACCTCTCTGGTGGTATTTTCGTTAATTCGACAAAATTTTTTCTAACATTTTTAAGACTAGCTAATATTTGAGCAAATGGAGTAACTATCATGTCATCTTGATGTCTAAATGAGAATAAAATAAGAGAAATGTTAATATAATAGACTTCTTTTTCTCATTGATGAATAGAGACGAAGTTGTTGTTACTCGATACAATTTCTATACATTCATATTGTACATTTATGGCCTTAATCGATACACTTTCAAAGTAAAATAGATATTGAATTACATAAATGAGTAGAGAGAATGAATTGACCTTGACCTTGACTATTAGATTACTCTCGTATTCTGTTCAAAAAACAATAATGATAAAATTCTGTAATTTAAGATAAATATATTTAAAACTAAATCTCACTTATATAGACCATAATCTTTGATATTGATTGTCTTTGGAAAAAAAGAAACCATTTAGAATAAATCATTTTCTGAAATACAATTTGTCCTACGAACATCTTTATTTTCCTGTTAAACCTTAAAAATATCGTTGTTTTGTTAAAGATGATGATGATATGAGAAATACAAAAACGAGAAAAAATGATGATTTATCACGGCAATGACTAGACGATTAACTCTGAATCTATCGAACGACAGAAATTAAAAATATATCTATACTATATATATATATATAACTTATCTCTTTGTAGATATATATTCTCATTTATATATAAATTTTTACAATAAAACTAAAAAGTCTAGTTTTTATTGTTGTTTTACTAACATCCTAGAAAAACTTCTCAATAAATAAAACTTACTTTAGATCAAGTATGATTGCATGTAGTGTCATTTTAAGGTATATATATATATCTCTACTATGAATGAGATATAAGGTTGTGTTCTATCGGAGTATACATTGTACAAAAACAAATGTTATGCCCAACTGACGGTCATTCTTATTCATTTCTTCCTTTTTCTTTCTTTTCTTTGTTGACGGCAAAAGGATCGATAAACCGTGTTTTTTTATGAATACAAATGATAAAAATATAGAATTTGACAGAGCGAGCACATATAGTTAGATGGAAAATGAAGAAACGACAAAAATTGAGTTATTAACATCATCGAACAAAAGAGCTTTGACTTCGAATGTAAACAGTCTCAAACAACAATACAATATTGGTATTGTATCGTTGTATAACTTTTATAATTATTTCAACATTAGAATAAGAACAAAGAATATACACTACTCTATATTTTCGTATCAGTAAACGACGAATTAATGAATATTAACGACGACGATTATAAAAGAAACAACAACAAAAAGAAAAAAAGACGATTTATTCAATTGTCTCAAATAAATAATAACTCCTTACGTTCTAACACTATCAGTGATGATGGCCGCTATCTACAACTATATTTTGCTTCTTTTTTTTGTCTTTTTTTGTTTTTTTATTGATGTTGATTCAAATATTCATGTCACATATCCACAACAAATCTCACATTTTTCTACGATCTAGTACTCGTTCCTAGATAGAATTTCCCGTTGTTTACCGGAAATTATATTCTTTCTTGTTGTAAAATATAAACTATTATTTCTTAAGTTGTCGAATTTTTTGTTATTAAAACATTCAAAATATCGTAAAGTTACCACTAACTGTGACTAGTTTTATAAGCGTAACATACAAACTACATTTATTAGATTAAATATTATTGTAGAATGTTTGTCAATTCACGGTTACAGGCATAAGTGAGTCACTCGTTCGTGACTTGACTAATATTGTTAGTTTTTTTTTTTACTTATAAAAAAACTGTTTGAAGACCATCATAAGAAGGATCTACAGAAACGTGACATTGTCGTTTAGAAGAAATGATCGAGGTTCTTTTGAATAGAATAAAAAGAAAAAAAGAGGATCATTTTTCAGGTAAGTGGTCACAATTTTCTGGTAGTAGAAGAGAAAATACATAAAGAGTAGATATAGTTGTATAGATGGCGTTGAATTCGAACATAAATAGTAGCGCTAAGTAAATAAGGAATGTGTAAGGAAATGAGTGATGAGAGTGAAAGCGATAAAAAATATTTTTCTTTCTAACATATAAAACTAATTCAAAAGCTTTTGCTTGATAAAATGGATTCGTTAAGTTCAGACACACCGACAATGTAGTTTCTCTTCCTTTTATTGTTCAGTTTTATTGCGCAAGTTTAACTGTTCTTCTATTTTTTCTTTTCTTTTTTTTTTTTTTTTTAAAATCTTTTCTTTAAGACGGAGAACACGACAGAATGAAACGAAACATAATGTTTCCGGAATGTGAGAAGTTAAAAAAAGGTTTCTATATCAATAATGTTAAAGAGATAGAGAGCCCGTTGTCTAATCAATTTTGATTGAGGTAGTAAAGATAGAAAAAATTATATCCGATAAATTAAACTCGGAATCGAACATCGAAATTAATCATTGTCAACAATGACAACATAACGCAATAAAAAAAAAGAAGAAGATATTCGATCCGATCAAAAGAAAGAGAAGATAAATGGGAAAAAAAAATTGTGTTGATAGAATAAAAATAAGATCAGCAATTTATTTATGTTTTTTGAATACTGGACAGTATAAATTTTAGAAGTAAGAGATAATAATATTTGAACAGAAACCATTGATTTTGATCTCAAAACCAACAAAAATGTTCGTTTTTTCCATTCATCATGTTTACGTTCTAATAATAAGTTACACATACTGAAAAAATTATTTTTGTCAAAATAAGACTGCTCTTCAATCAGCAAGTCGTTCTTTTTTTCTTTATGATGAATATTTTACAAGAAATTTGATTTTTGAAATGTATACTAAATATTAATTGACAATTTAATATTGTAATTAAAATGTTTGATATAGAAGAATTTTTATCAAAAGATTTTACTATATAATCAAACTAAAAAATTTGTATTTCAAAAAATCGAGAAGATTTATCTAATAAGTAGCCATTAGACAAACTATGTCTATATAATTGTAGTAAAATATTCGGCAAAGTTGTTCTAGTTTAAATTGTAGATGTATAATTGGTTATATAGCGTGTGCAATATATATGGCATATCATTGCCTGTTCTTAAAATTATTAACTCAAAAAGCGGATTATACATATATGTTTTTTTTATTTTTAATTCTAATAATTAAATATTAAATGACACAAATGATCATTCTCATTCTAATGAGCTGTGCTTACAATATCAGAAGACAAATATCGTAGCAGTAAATCAATTAATTATGATAAATATCAAATTTCAACATTTTATGTAAATTTATACTCGAACTAAATTATCTAATTAATTTCCGACTTTTTTCAGTATTCTTTCGGGAAGCGCAATATAGGTTCATTATACAAATTAATCTTAGAACTATCATCAATTCCCATATGAATATTAGTTATTTGAATAACAGGCGATGAGAAAAGATTACTAGATTATTCGATCACCGTGCATATTGTACGTTTTGTAATAGTGTTACTATGTTTTTAGACTAATAAAATGAGATATTTTATTTTATTACAACTGAATACGATCTTTTTCCACAAATTTGTTAAAAATTTTCTCAATACGAAATTATACATTTTTATTTATATTACAATATTTAGTCAAAAGAAATATAGATTCGAATAATCTTACCGTTCGAATGATGTCCTATTCTCGGAATCTTGAATGGTTATCGATCGACATATTTTCATTCGTTCTTTTGGTGGACGATTTTTTACTGTTCCACCACCAATATTAGAAGATAAATCTGATTTTTCACCATCAATACTTACGGATTGATGTTCCATAGAAGAAATATGTTTAGAATAATTCATTCTCTCTTTAAAATAAATTCAAACGAACGAAGAATAACATACGCTAGTAACAATTAAACGAACATCAAAATAAAATAAGAATAAAAGAAATTTCAACAAAACAGAAACAGTCGTCGCCGTTGTCGTCATTTTTTTTTAGAAATACGATATTTATGAAAGCATACAAAAGAACTAATAATCTTAAAAAAAGAGATCTCCTTCTTTCTTCGGTTTTTTATTAAAAAAACAACAAATGTGGTGTGTGAATAGAAAAATAGTAATAATAATACCACAACGTCGGATGTTACACATCTATTTTTTTTGCTATTAAGAAGTAGAATCAAACAAGCACTGTGCAGCGGCAGAAGAATGAAATAGATAGAGTGAGACATTATATTTGAATGGAAAATGAGTGAAAAAAAAAGAGAGAGAGAGAGAGAGAAAAAAAAATAGATATAAAAAACATAGAGATTATATATAACATATCAATTAATCAGCTCCACTTACCAAAAAGGTAATTTTAGTTTTTATTATACTAAAAATTGTTTCTATGAAACTAGTGCAACTCTTCTATTTAAAATAGACTGAAGAAATTTAGTCTAAAAGTATTATTATTTTTGAAAACTCAGTCTATATCAGAGTTGCGGGGGG